CTTAAACATGTCGGGCGGAAGCACTGGATACATCTTTCCTCCCTCATGCGGGGGCGGGTTTTCTTTCTCCGTCACTTTGAAGGGCGGGCTGTCTTTTGGCGTGACTCCAGGGGGCGGGGCCGTGGGCAGTGACGCGGCCGGCCCGCCTCCCGGGGGGATTTTCGCGCCCTCTTTACTTTTCTCAGTGCCATTTTCTAGCAGCGGTGCCATGCGGCCGGTGCCATTTTGGAGCGTTGGCTCGGAGCCCCCCACTGCCTGCTCCAGTGACTCCATGCTCGCTGTTTGCAATTTCATTTCTAGGTTGGCGTTTTTTCTCAATAACCCCTCTACTGTTACCTCCGCGGCCGTATTGGGTGGTCGGTATATGACCGCGGGACTAGTGAGGAGACACCCCAAGGTTGCTGGGGTGAGGCCGGCCACAACCCACTCTTTGAGTGGACCTCTGTTGTTTTCGGTCGGGTGGATAGAGATGGCCCCTGATCCTCCCATCTTGCTGGGCCTGATGGTACGCCACGTGGGCCCGTAAATCATTGGCGTTCGTGGTTGGAGGTCTGTAGTGGTTCCGCCACGGGCAATGCCGGACTGATTGGTCGAGGTACTCCTCGTCTTCCCTTTGCCCCTGAGATCCTGTTCGTGACGCCATGACCAACCTGACGGTGGGTGGTTGGACCCAGAAAAGTATTACACGAACAGGCCGGGGATGAAAGGGTTACGGGGCGTTGTTCCTCCTTCTCCTGTCTCTCCCTCCGTCCACAGAAAACACCAAGGAGGCGGTATAACAAATAAATGCTTTACTCACACTTTCGTATAGGTGGTTTCCTTTACAGCAGTTTCAAGAATAAACTCGCTGTTAACTCGAGAGCTCTAATTCGGTCGTGATGGGGGCGTCCGGGAGGAAGGGATTTTGTGGACGCAGGACCTCTGGTGAGGGTGATCAGGCCTCTCCGATATGGTGTGGGTTCCAGCTTTTTGGCGCGCGCGCTTTTCCTTTTAATCGGGCTGCATCCGCCCGCCCCCTGCCAATCAGCGCGGGCCGGGACTGCCGATCTCGCGGCTATCAGGCTGCGCCCACTACTTCCCCCATGCCCCGAGCACAACTTGCTTTCATGCTTGGCGTTTGGTCACCTTTTTTTTTTTTTTTTTTTTTCTTTATCACAGTGGGGAATGGGGGGACATGTGCCTCCCCAGATTTGTGCATGGGGCAAGGGAGGATGTAGTCTGCCTGCTGTGGGGCTTGGGGCTCCCCACCTCGCTGCCTTCCCCCCAGGGCCTCTAAGCCATCAGATGGGACCGAGCACAGGAAGGCAGAGCGGGATGGGGAGGCTCTGTGCCACTGTTGCCGCCAGGAGCTCCATGCTAGCCGTGCCACCGTTGTGAGATGTGATACAAATCCGCGCTGCCACTGCCACCAGCCCTGCTACTGCTGGTCAGGTAGGGGGTGCCTTGCCATGGCAGCATGGCTGGCATGGGGCTTCTGACAGCAGTGGCAGCACTCAGCCTCCTTGCCCTGGCCGCTGTCCTGCGAAGCCCCTGGGGAGAGGGCAGCAGAGTGGGGAGCTCTGAACCCCTCAGTGGGCAGTTTACATCCTCCCCTGCCCCCTCATGGGCTCTGCTTGGCTCTGCTTTGGCTGTGCCACGCACTGGGGGCTGGACTCCATGTTTTGTGCTTTGCTCCAGCTGCAGCTACGGTGGCAGCTGGAACTTGTGTACCTGAGGAGCAGGGAGCAAGCAGGATGGTCCTGTAGCCCTGGCAGCTGGGAGCCAGGGATCTGCAGGTTGGGAATAAGGGGCACCAGCAGAACTGTGGGTTGGGAATGAGGGGTGATGGTATGGGCAGGAGCAGGGCACCAACTTATCAGGGCTGTTCAGTGCCATAAAGCAATGCGGGAGAGAGGCTGTAGCTGGATCCGTGTCCGGGTGAGTGAAGGGGGCAGGGGGAGCTCTGATTTTCCATGATAGAAAAACCAAAATCAAATGCCAAAATATATAGGTATTTAGAATTTATTTTATTATAGTGACTGAGGCACTGGTAGGCTTCCAAATTGCTTTAAAATGGGAAATATATCAACACAACATTATGTTCAACTGATATCTGTATATATAGTGGCATTTCATTTTAATTGTGGAAAAACACAGATTTTGGATTGTTTACTCAGAGAATTTGGGATTTTTATCAGAGAATTTGCAATTTTTAAACAGAAAACCAGGACCCTTGCTAATTATCAATATCACATTTTGGAACATGCAAGCTTGCTATACAAAACAGGTGTCTAAACTTTTTATATTTGCCCAAGTATTAAAATGGGAACTTGAAGTACAGAGGAGAAAAAAATTGTGAATCTGCATAAAAATGGTATTTTCCACCCTTAGTAAAGTAGTAGTCACAATGACTAGGTCTCATGTAATAAAGGCTTCATTATTTTGAATAATATTTATTGAAGCATTTCAGACTATTGTCAAAAACGGAAAAAACAGAATTTTAGATGCATAGATTCATAGATTGTAGAGTTGGAAGGGACCACAGTGGATCATCGTGTCCGACCCCCTGCCCCTGGCAGGAAAGAGGACCGAGGTCAGATGACCCCAGGCAGGTGATTGTCAAGCCTCCTCTTGAAGACCTCCAAGCTAGGTGATAGCACCACTTCTCTTGGCAGCCCATTCCAGATCCTGGCCACCCTTACTGTGAAAAATTTCTTCCTAATATCTAACCTAAATCCACTCTCCACTAGTTTGCACCCATTATTCCTAGTCACCCCCTGAGGCGCCTTAGTAAACAGCACGTCACCTATTACCCGTTGACCTCCCCTAATATACATTATAGTATCTTTGCTCTTTTAATAATCTTTGTTCTTTTTAACTTGTTTCTTAGTTCAGTAATTTTGCAATGGATCCTCCAGTCATTGTGAAAACGCAAGTTGCATCTGTAGTGTGAAATTTTTGCAGTTGTGCCAATTTTGCAGTTGTATGATACCTGGTGTATCATTAGAAGGCATCTGTGATGGAGCATGGGCTGTTAGATGAGTTCATTGGGAACAAGTAGAAAGCTAAAGTTTAGGAGATGCTTCTGTTTCTGTTCTCCACAGCAGCTGGGTCCAAAGCTTAATCCTTTAACAGGTTGAGATGGGAATAAGATGAAACTGAACCACAGCAAGAGATAGACCAAGAACAATTTGTAAATAACCCATCTAATGACTTTGTCTACTTCCTTCCCATTTCTTAGCTATGACAGGGGTTCCACATTCAACGTCTTTGTGGGAAAAGGCCAGCTTATTGAAGGAATGGATAAAGCTCTACTTGGAATGTGTGTGAATGAGAGACGATTTGTGAAAATTCCACCCAAACTTGCTTATGGGAGTGAAGGTGTTTGTAAGTACAGCACTACATTTGTAAATAATTTTGTTGTGCAAGAGATTCAGTTTTTGCAGTTGTGCCAAACTTGTGATTCCAGGCACTGGGATCACAAGAAAGAGTTGTAAAAATTGCACCTGATTTGCTTTTCCTGAGGTCCATGCTGTCCACAAGATCCGTACTGAGCGGGCTTAAAAACACTTCCCCGATACCAGCCACTCAGTCTTAAATAACTAGGATGCAGGGAATTTACCTTTGAAGTTCAAGGGCAATGTCATGTTAATGATGCAACATTGCATACATTTACAGCTGGCTCATGTTCAATTGGAAAATAATCTTTACAACCACAGAAGTTAGAGAATTATTTTTAAAAATATGGATCTTTGTCTGCATTTTGTTTATACCTATTTTTTGTTAAAAGTAGTATCTATTTACCCTAACTGGAAGGCACCAAAGAGAGGAGCCTTGATCCTCCAGTCATTAAGTATATGGGCTTTCCCGTGGGCTTCACTTGGATTGCTTGGATTCTTGAAGTTGAGTGGGTGCTGAATTGGGGCTAGTTTGTTTGATATGTATATTTGATAATATTTTGTCAGCCTCTCTTCCTGTTTGTGTGTTTTTTCACACAAAAACAAGGGAGAGAGAAACATTTAAATACTGAAAGGAAATGTTGAAAAATCACAACAGTTGACAAAGGACTTTGGTCAGGGTTTGAGCCTGAAACCAACCAGATTCCAAGTTCACAATGCCCTTTTTGAATACTATATAAGTATGTGAAGTTAAGCTCCCATGTTCCTCAAGTAAAGCTTCTTACTTGCTGCTCATGAGTTAATTTTCCAGTCCCCCCAAATCGTATGGAAGTGCTAAATAGTTGCTTAGATCCTGACTTTACATGGTGTTGAGTGACCTCATCTCTCACACCCACAAGTGGAAGTCAAAGGGAGTAGATGGCAGTCAGCAACTTGCTGGGCTTGGCTTTTACTGAGTGGTCAATTTTGTTCCATGTTGCATTTTCCATAAGATATCAATACAGCTATTTAGTAAATGCATGCATGTATACAGTTATAATACTATAAATAGATATAAAGTTAGTATTGGCAGCTTCTTTGGAAAACCTCTCGTTGGGTGATAAACTTTTTTACTTTTTACTCTGATAAAGTCGGTTCTATGTTAGTTTAGTGTCCTATGCAAAAGTGCAGAATGGTAATTGTTTGAACTTTTTGGGTTCACAGCTGGTGTAATCCCCCCGAATGCAGTGCTCCATTTTGATGTGCTTCTGATCGATCTCTGGAATTCTGAAGATGAAGTGCAGATTCAAACTTATTTCAAATCTGAAAACTGTACTCGGACAGTGCAGGTGTCTGATTTTGTTCGATATCATTATAATGGAACATTTTTGGATGGGACATTGTTTGATTCAAGGTATGGAATTCATATTTTGTGTGGATTTTTTTTGTGGCTTACAAGAGTCATAGAAGTTGTGCAGGTAGAAACTGAAGATGTTAAATTGGTAATATTCTTATCCTCTTCTTTTTAGTTAGTTGTTATAGAATGCTAATAGATGGAGTTGGGCTGACCCAGGCTCCTTTAATTCTTAACTGGCTTTTTGGCAAAGCTTCCAGTACTGTGCTGATCTGTATTGTTTTGTAATTTGGGCTTAGCCTAAAATATTGGCAGAGCTCTGTGGAAAGCTGCTGCAGTAACTGCAAGGCAGACTCTGGCCACTGATTAATGCCATGCTTCTGAGAGTCAATCCTGAATGTTTTACTTTGAGTGAGGGTGTATGTACGTCCTCCCTGTGAATATGTGTATGTCTCAATAGTAGATCAGAGAAATATTTTAGTTTCAGCAGTACCAGTAGAGTGTGCTGTGGCCTTGTCCCTCCTTGTGTTCTGTGCTGATGGGGAAAAGGGTGTATGTGCATTTCCTGCTCTGCAATGCCTCTCAACCACCTTGGCTTGATCAAAATGCTCAATTTCTAGATGCGCTTATGGCCTGAAAACCTGTTTGAAGCCTTTGTTTAAATCACTACTTCTTTGCTTTTTATTATTATTTTCTTTCTCTGTTTTACAAAAGATAAAATGGAAAGGCAAGGTTCTTATTTATTGTTTCTTTGGTTGGGGTTGATGCCCTATTGGTGCCCTTATTTTATATGTCACGTGGTGCCACCGTTTTGAGGGCTGCCTTAGCTTTTGGCTCCATCTTGAATTGTCTCCTTTTTTTAGTTAGGTGGGTTTTTCCCCCCTTTCTCATTAGCTTTTGGATATTTTCTTTCTTTTTTTCTTGCTGTGGATTCACTCCCATTCATTGGGTTGCCATTAATGTGATAGTGTCATGTCCACATTTGATGGGCATATGTAATGCTCCATATATAGGTTGTGTACATTCTGGGTTTGAAGGGACATGGGCAATCTATGGGATCTGCCTCAGATCCAGTGACAAGGGGCTGGGCATTGTGCACCACCCAGCACTACCCTGTTATGGAGATACTACTTCTTCTAAACTCTGGAGAGACTTGCAGTGGATCACAGATCCAAGATTGGTACTTGAAGGAGTTCTTATGTTAGTGTGTCTTGCCATTGCCTCACCCATTTAAATCCAAGATCCACAGCTTCATAAATATGCCATTGGCACTTCTGGAGGCTCTAACAGTCATGTTCTGTGTAGCAAGCCTCTTGGGTCTGTCTGTCAGTGCCTGGTGTCCCACTGGGGTCCAACCTGACTGCTGTCCTTTCCAGCCCTAGCTCATCTCCAGTCTTTTGCCTGCTACACCTTTGAGGTTTTTGTTAGTTTGTTGAGGAGGTGGTCCCTGGAGGCTGGGAGGAGTCTCTTTGGTGCTCCACACTCGGTCCTAGGAGACTCTGTGTTTCCCTTACGGTACTTTCCCTTTTAAGGCAGGTCCTCTCCTCAGGCCTTCAAGCACTTGCTGGTGTTTCAGCTGTCTCAGCTTTGGCCCACTTTTCTGTTGGCTGAGCCCTCATCCCTAGTCCACTATTTAGGACCTCAGCTCCCAGGGCTTGGCCCTAGCCTGTCTCTTTTGGCTTGTGTCCCGGCTTTGATTCTCTTGGCTCTAGCCAAGCTTGCTCTCCCTGCCCCCTTGGCAGGGCTTGACACCCAGAGTTATATGGCCCCCAGTTCACCCCTACAGCCACAATCCAGTTCTCTGGTCAAACTCAGAAACACAAAATAGCAACTGAACCAGTCCTAACTCAAACATAAACCTCTCTGGGTCTTTAGTCTTCAAGCCTTCCTACTTAGGCATATTTGGTTGCACCCCTGCAGGATCCTTCACTGACACCAGCTCTAGTGGAAGCTCCCTGTCCCTGCCTCTGGTCCATGACCAGAAACTGGGCTTATATGCCCCAAGACCAGCCCCCTTCTGGTCATGTGACCCATCTGCTACTCCCAGGGCCTAGGTGCTGTTGAATCAGTCATTAGTAACCTGTCCTTTTTTAGCCCATGGCTCAGTTTATATGAACAACTTGCACTTGCTGCTGCTTTGCCCTCAGGTTTTCTGAAAAACTCCCCACTTCCTAGTAATAGGGGTAGGGTTCCCTGTTTCACACTGGCACTGTTGGTGATCTTCAGGTGACTGTCAAAAAGGCCAGGAAACATAGCCTAGATGCTTCTCCAGATTTATGTCCCCATATCTTCTTGGGTGTCAAAAACCCTGGTCCTGGCTTGACCTGAGCACGGTAGGAAGGTACTTCATGCACTGCCTCTGTTCCATTCTCCAGTTCATCTCTGTAGAGTGGGATTACTTGAAAATAGATCTTGCTGTTGGATGATGCAAAAAAACCCCCAACAGCTGGTTCTTTGCTCCAAGGGAGGCCTCTTCCAGGACTTACTGTCTGATGCTTTTTTTTTTTTTTTCCGTCTAGTGGTCAGGAATCCTTTTGTATGTTTTCCTAACCATACCTCTTATTCTGCAAGTACAGTGTACTCTGTTTAAGTGCATGTGCTCTGGGCTGAAACAAGCAGTGCATTTCCCTGAACTCAGTCTAAACAACATTAATTAAATACAGGATCAGGATGTGCTATAACCCTTTTGTACCTTTTTAAGGTACCTGGATCAGGACTCTAGAGAGAGTGCTTCAGTGTTGGATGGTTATTTCTTCTGCCTGGTGCAGGGGGCTGGACCTGATGATGTTTTGAGGTCCACCCTTAAAATGTATGGGGCTGGACCTGATGATGTTTTGAGGTCCACCCTTAAAATGTATGAATCTATGGTTCTTGATATTGGAGCAAAAATGGTCTACCTAAGTAAGGGACATCCTTACGCACAGTAGAAAGGGTTCTACTAGGTACATTTCTTTACTTTACTAAGTGGACTTAATTTTCAAGTGGTGTCAGGCAAGAAATTTTACTCCTGTTTCATCTTCTCTCCCAACTGTATTAAAACATCCTCTGGAGCTCAAACATGCTGATGTATCTAAAGTGCATCTGGCAGCTGTTCCAGCCCACTATTCTCCAGCTGATGACTGGAATGTGTTTTGTCACTTGATAGTGAGCTTCCTTAAGGGCCCATTGAAGGTTTTCCCCCCCTCAAGTGAGGGGCCCTGTTCTACAATGGGATTTAAATTCAGTCCTCATGTTTTAGATGGGACTATATGTTGGATTTGTGGCAATATCTTCTTTTCTTCTCTTTTTCATGGAAACCATTTTGTTGGTGGAAATTAATTTAGTAACGAAGGTGGATGAGATCCAGGCTTTCTTGGTGGAGTCTCCCTAGATGCTGTTTTATCTAGGCAAAGTAGTCTTAAACATCTATCCTAAGTGTTTTTTCCAGGGTGTTTACTGAATTCCACCCTAGTCAGTAAGTCAACTTGCTACTGTTCTTTCCCAGACCTTATTCTTTCTGACCTAAGATTAAATTGAGTTCCATGGGGCTGCGAGCTGAGCCTGGTGGAGGGAGACAGAGCACAGCCTCGGTGCTGTGCTCTGATTGCCCCCACTGGGCTTAATTCCATGGGGCTGTGAGCCACTGGGAACTGATTTTTCCCTGGGTCCCACATCAGACCCGACCTGAGGAGGGTGCAGGGCCCAGGGCAAATCAGCTTGTGCAGGGAGTGGGTCCCCGCACAAGGTAATTTGCCCCAGGCCTGCCTGCTGCTGGTCCCAGGTGGCAGCACCTGCCTCCTGTGATCCAGGAGGCAGATTGGGGGCCCGCATCCCTGGGAGCAGTCTGGCACAGCCCTCCTGGGGGTGCAGGTGAGCCCTGGATCTGCCTGCTAGATGATGGGAGGCTGGTGCTGCCAGCTGGGGCCAGCGGCAGCACTAACTTTCCCAGTGCTGGTTGCAGAATAGCCTATGGTGAAAGGACGAAACAACATTGAAACAGTGAAAGAGTTTCTACTAAACAAAACGGAACAGTGCTTTCGAAACTAAACGAAACTCGAAATGAAACGCTGTTCCGTCGAAACAGAAGTTAAAGCAGAACAATGCTGTTTTACACACACACACACACACACACACACACACGTGTGCACGCATGCAATTGCTGCACTAGTAGTGTAGCACTGATGTTGGTTTATGCCTATCCGGGAGCTGGAGTCTGCTGTTGATGGTCAGCTTCCTCCAGGGAGATGTTTTTCCAGAAGAGGGTCCGCTGCTTGTCCTTCTGTCTTGGTAGGTCAGGTGCTGGATGAGAGGGTAGCACTCAGGGTCACACTTCACTGCCTCTTATCCCTTTCTGGCAGACGTCTATGATCCCCCAGCATCATCTTGGCTGCCCAATCCAAAAGTCACTGTCCCACGTGGGTCTTGAGCAGTGCATGACAGCTGTTAGTCACAGTCACTGGGGGTTCCGTCCGAGGGTGCAGTTTTGGGAGTCTGCTCTTGACTTGATTGACTCAATGGCTGTGTCCTTGCAGGTTCCAAGTGGCTTGATTAGCTTAAAATGGCTTGTAGAGTATAGTTTTGTAATGGTAAGCTCCTCTGGCTAGGCTTTTGTCAATTAACAGGCATAGGTTCTTGCTTTGTCGTTCAATTACCTACTGACTCGTACATACTCGCATTCACTCAGGGGCCAACCCAATACAGCAATACAATTCCAGTGATCACAATTTCAATGCATTCTTATATTAACAATTTTAGTAATACAAGGTATGACTTACTCTAAAAAATACATTTGTTAAAAGGTATAAAACATAAAATACAGAATGCCAGGGCAAAGATGAGACAGATGAAATATAAAAATGCACTATGAGAAATATATAAAAATACAGTGTGAGGTAGTGAGGATCAAAGGCCACTGGGGACAGCAAGTGAGTTAGGTTAGATGCAGTCACGTAGACTGATTTAACATAAAACTTTAGACAGATACAGGAAGTTTGCTTTGGGAAATAGGTCTTAATCAAAGGGGGAATGTGTTCACCAGGATATATTTACAGTCATGCTTTAAATGCACCTTGGTTTTTCTTGTCTCATAGGCTTTGCTTTGAAGTGGATATTTTAGTTATTTTGTTTTCTTTAGTGATATTTAGCTCAAATGATATGTAGATGTAGTTTTGTAGGTTTCTCTTACAGAAAGCTACTTCAGCTTTCTGGCTTGCTTCGAGCCTTGCCACATGCATACTATGAGCGTGCTAGGTCCCTGCTAATACTCAGAAGGAAAAAAGAAATGCATGGGGGGCTGGTGCAGGCAAGAAGGGGCTTCTGTTATATGAGTGCCCAGAAGGGGAGTGTACAAAGAGGGCTCCCTGTTACAGGTGTTTTAGTTCAAAGGTGCACCACTGCCATTTTCTGTGTGCTGATGTGCATTTTACTGCTTATGCAACCGCATGTGACTCAGTGCAGTGCACGTCAGCTCACGTGTGGAGCAGACTCGATCAATCAAATCTGCTCCGACACGCTGGATTTCTGGCATGTCAGAGCAGACAAAGTTATGTATAAATATCCCATGGTTTTTAAGTGACACTTAATGCACATTAAAATAGATGCACCCACTGTTGTGTATCCTGCTGTACACTCTATTAATGTTGATAAAGTGAAAAAAATTGTATTTGATTGCTTGCTTGAGGCATGTGAGTACGTACAGTGAGGCTGTGCATGTGGCTTACACATCTTGAAGAGTTCTAGTTACTATATAAATAACTCCTCTTTCACATACACATGATAGAAACATTTTGTTGTGCCGGTGTCTCATACAAAATATAGGCATCTTACAGGATTGATCATTCTTAATGCACTTGTTCAAGTATGTATTTACCAAGAGCTTCTACTTGGCTGAATGTTGTACATCCTCAAGTATGTCTGTGAGCTCATGATTGCTGGTAGTACTGTTGATGAAATATAAGAGTTACCTATACATGAGCCAGGAGGCTGCTCCGACACGCTGTATTTACAGTGCGCTGGAGCAGACTCAGTTAATGGAGTTTGCTGGAGCGTAGTAATTAATGTGCTCCAGCCAGCCTCTGTGTCTCATGTATCAGCATCCCCGTGCTTCAAAATGATGACAGGGGTGCTTTAACTAAAGCTTTTTGATGAGCTTTAGATAAAGTGCCCTGCCACCATTTTCAAGTGCGGTGACGCTGATACATGATATGCTCTGGGCGCTTTAATTAGAGCAGCTCTCCAAGACATTCTAATTAAAGTACCCCAACCCCTCCGGCCGCCACCCCTGGAGCTTGTTTAAAAATGCTCTAACAGAGGGTGAGCGTCTAAATTCTCATGAATGCTTAATCCCATTCTGAAATATAAATTAGGCATTTAGTCTCCTTAATCTCATTAAAATTAATGGGATTGGTTTTATAAATTGCTTTTAAAAATGGGGATTTGGGTTTCTAAACTACTTGAGCACTTTGGAAAATGTTACCCAGAGTGTCTTTGTTAAACTCAGGTAATATATAGCTGTATTTTTGGGACAGGTGGTTGTAATATTGTCTCATATATGCAGGGAGCTCTAACTACAAATTATGGTGCCCATTTGTGTGTGCCTGTTGATTCTTTTTTTTTTTTTTAACTCTTCTTTTATTGTGCTCTGTGACATTCCTCTTTCTTTTTAGCCACAATCGGATGCGAACTTATGACACTTATGTGGGAATTGGATGGCTGATTCCTGGAATGGATAAGGGACTCCTGGGAATGTGTGTAGGGGAAAAGCGTATCATCACCATACCACCTTTCCTAGCATATGGAGAAGAAGGAGATGGTAAAAGTTTCCCCCTGCCTTTTTCCACCAGAAAACACACAGATGAGAAATACTATTAGAGAAGTTTCAAAAGTGTTATATGTAGGATTTGGTTGACCAACAAAATATTGACATTGTTTACCTTTACATGAAAAGTAGATTGGTTGAGTAGCAAACAAATGTTTAACATTGGTTAATTATAATCTATATATACTAATAGTTGATTTTCTTTTGGACTGTTTTTTGTATGGATGAAGTACTCCAACACTGTAGCAAAGTGGAGGTCAGTTGTTCTCTTCTGACTTTCCTGTTTCTACCATTAATAAATAGAAAGTCATTCTCTGGTTCCCTAGTTTTGTTCTTTTTTTTCTGCTGCCAGTCCATAAGTAGGCTATATCTTGGAATCCACAGATATATCTGAAAATATCCTTCTGGATGTGTGTCCATTCCAATCAAGAGTTATTTTCTGGTGTGTTGCAGAATTGTTCTTTTGTTTTTGCCATATTTAGTAGATGGGAGAAAGAATAACAGTCTAGGTGGACCTTACATCTACTTCAAAGGAAAGTTGCCTAATACCATTTACTTCAAAGGAAAGTTGAAGAATCTTACAATAGATCATTGTGGAGATGATTTGCCCGTCCTCAGTCCTGATCTGCAATAGTTGGAGGACAATGCTAGCCCTCAAGCATGAGAAACAATATTCCTTCCCTGACCTTGTTATAAATATCCAGTCTCTTTTGAATCAGACTAGGATCTTGCTGTCAGTGGCTTTCTGTTGCAGTGACCTCTACAGTGTAACTATGCATTGCATGGAATAGGTTTTAGGAGGCTTTGAATCTGCCATTTTTCACAGACTAGACTCTCTGAGAAGTTCAGAGAACTTCAGCAATACATGTTCCTGATCTGCCATTTATAATTTTATTTAGTTTCAGAAAGCATTCTGAAGAGCAGTTTGAGAGACCAATATTTTGATGACCAGATATCATGACTATGGGCATACTACAAATATACCTAGAACAAATATAATACAAATAACAGGATTCAAAGGATTTTGAGGAAACCTGCCTGTAGAGTCCTACATAGATATGAGTGGAAGCGGATTTGGTAAAGTTCTAGGGGTGGAAGGGCTGTAATTTTGCAGTTATTCTTCCTTGTTTGAATACCTACACATGTTTATCTAATGGATGACTGGGAGGTAAAAACAAAATGAAATGTACACAATGGCAGCATGAAAAAAATGACCAAGAAGCTGTAATCTTTCCAGAATTCCACTGAGATTCCTTTTTTTTTCTCAACGCACATGTAGGTAAAGATATTCCTGGACAGGCTTCTCTGGTCTTTGATGTGGCTCTGCTAGATCTTCATAACCCAAAAGATGGCATCACTATTGAGAATCAGCAAGTGCCTGAATCCTGTGAGCGCAAAAGCCAGACTGGAGATTTTCTCAGATACCATTATAATGGCACGCTTATGGATGGTACACTGTTTGATTCCAGGTACCCTGACTGCTGAACATTACAGATATTGCTTCAGTTCATGCATGTGACCGTACAGCATTAACATAGGAAGAGACTCTTTACTCCTGCTAGTGTGTAGCCTAAAACTGGCAAAAGAGTGGGAGAAAATAAATATTAACTCACTTTTATAACTGGAGAATGGAGGAGTGGGGAAATTGGGGGACAATGATATAAAAGTCTTTGTCAGAGCAAGATACTAATCTTGATTAATATTAATCTTTTAGTCCTCTGCCCCAATCACAAGACAGTTCTTCTGAGGATTGTCTACAGCTTGCAGTTTTAGGTCCTTAAAAAAATTATAAGGATTAAAAGATGTGATTAAAGGGAAAGGACATAAATATGGGTTATTTCAAGTTAAATATTAATAATAGGTATTCAGGAACTGTTTATATTTATATTAAAAACATAAGATAAAAATATCTATCGAGAATAGGTTCCTATTGAGAAACTTTTTTCATCAATATTTTTTTTCCTTTAATTAAATATAAACTGCCCTTTCTCTGTAGCGACCTGACAGAGTGGGAGAAAATAGCATAAATAGTTAATAAGACTTTCAGTTAAATTATTGTAAAATAAACTGAACTAATACAACTTCACAGTTCTCTAGCTGCTTTAATTTGAGAATCACAGTCCTTTAAAAACACAAATTAACTGTCTTCATAAAAGGTTAATGGTATTACATTATATGAAGTTCATCTTGGAAGAATAGTGATACAGAAAAGTTCAAAGTCACATTTGATGCATCTCTGACTTACTGCATCAGTTGCTGGGGCACAGGCTCTTTTCTGTGCGCGCTAGAGCTGTGCGAAGCTTTGGTCGCTGATTTGATTTGGTGGAGATTTGGCCTGATTTGGTCAAATCGCCGAATCTGAATCAAATCAGGAGACCCTTTAATCTCTTTGAATCAAATCAGAACCCTCTGAATCAATTCGGAAAGATTTAGACATTTGGACAGAGACACAGCTTTAAATGTTTTTTCTGTGTACCTCAAGGTACCAGGCGGCTTGTGAATGCTGCGATGGTGGGGCAGATGGAGCGTCCCACAGGAGAATGGGGAGCTCCTCAGTGTGCTCGGCAGCAGACCCGGAAGTGGACCAGAAGTGCTTCCGGTCCTCTTCTGGGTTTGCGTCCGAGCATGCGGGGGGATGCTCCATCCACCCCAGAATTGCAGCATTCACAAGCTGCTCCTGGTACCTCGAGGTATGTAGAAAAAACATTTAAAACATTGAATCTTCAGATTCGGATTCAGCCGAATCAAATCGGGGACAGTGATCCGAATCAATGAATTGAATCACTGTCCCTGATTTGGGCCGAATCTGAATTGAATATAGCCTGTTTCACACAACCCTAGTGTGTGCTATGTTTTGAACCAGAAATAAAGTAGCTGCCTTAGTGTGCTGCGTACCATAGGATAGACATAGACATTATCTGTCTAAAAACGTTTCCTTTCTCTAAACAGAACTTAATTTTTTTTTCTTACCATGTATATATATTGGCCTTTCTGAATAAATAATCATAGCTACTTTGTAATCCCAAGTATTTGAATAACTGTACGTCATAGTAAGAGATGACAAATGTTAAGATTTATTCATAAATAAAATGACATTCTAATTTCTTGCAGTAGTTACATGTAAGGACATTAGCTAATACATACTAGAAGAATTGGACCAATCAGATTTTGAAATTCATTAGTCACCCAAAATAATGTAAAACATATAAAAGCCTTGCAGTCAGCCAGGGGAGAATTTTCCTGCTGGCTGGTAGGTATACCAGGACTGAAGCAAATAGTAGGTGTTAGGGGAGGCCTGGAATGATTTTTTTTTTTTTTTTTGATATAGCCATTCAGGGCAATAGTAAGGTTGCAGAACTGTTCATAGGCAGCTCATACCTTAGAGCGGTGCCTAGAGTTCCTTAAATTATACCAGGAGCTACATTGGCTCTATCTGAGCCAGAATACCAAGAGTGTATTTTTGTGTTCCCTTCTCTGGTTGTACTTGCATGTACAATCTCTAATAAGGGCAGTGCATAATGCTATCCTACATGATATGTTTGCCCTGCTGAGTTACAGATGTTGGGTCTGATTCTTGAAATGGATATTTATTACTCCTGTTTCCTTGATGCTGTCTTGCGGGAGATGACTCATTTTTCCATTCCACTAAGAAAAATGATTTATTGATTTCAGATGGCAGTAGGTCCAGATATAATTAGGCTTTGGCCTTTGCTACAAAATGAGATAATATGAAGAAAGGTTGCTGAAAATGGAGTCAAAACTTACTTATAAAAATACTCATTACAGCAGTGGTAGAGGATTATTAAGGATTCTTTTTAATGCTGGAAACTTTTTAGCTAAATATGCCTAACCTGAGAGGAGGGATTGGAGGCATTTATTGATGTTAAATATTCTCTATTCGATCCAGTCGAGATGCATTTGCAAATTAGCGGCTTTTCAGTTGTGATTTAACCACAACAAATACTCAGTATTTAATATTGAGAAGTTATGGGCCAGATGACTTGTACAACATGGTTTCTTTGGGTTTCTCCAGTAGTAGAAAAAACAGCTGTGAATCTTGCTTTAACTGTTATAAAATTATGGCACAAAACCATTTTAGGCTTTCAAGTTTGACATAGCACTGAATAAACTAACAGATGTGAATGTTGCTGAAGTCTCATTAAAGCAAAATATTTTCTACAGCTATTCCCGGAATCGTACATATGACACCTATGTTGGAAAAGGCTATGTGATTGCTGGGATGGATGAAGGCTTGCTAGGTGTATGCATTGGTGAAAAGAGAAGAGTAATAATTCCTCCTCACCTTGGATATGGGGAGGAAGGAAGAGGTGAGCTGAGCACTTATTTTCATATAATATTTTGTAAGTAGAAGTGCTTCCCTTGGGTGTTTAGTACAAATACATCTAGTTAATCTCTAAAATGTCTCTTTCTGATCATATTCAAAATATTTTTTTAAATTAATGTAGGGCTTGGTGGGTATATAACTGGCAAGATTATACCCAACTTTTGAGATCTTGTAGCTTCAGTTGTCTGGCTGTAACTGGTGACATAAAAATCATTTGAGTAATCAGTGGTTCAGACAAATAGATGTACCTGGAGCCCCTTTCCTATGTATATCTGAGTAAACTCTATATGCTAAAGGAATTCAGTATATAAAGCCTTTCCTCCCAATTCCTTCCATAATCACAGGTTTTGTGGACACCTAAATCACCTCTGTAAACAGTGGACGCATGTAACAGCAAAGTGTGTGTGTATGTATAATATACAATGAAAATATTTCTGTGGAAGTTCACTAGCCTCTTGGAAAAGTTCTGGTAGAGGGTAGATATATCAATCCCTTTAGCTAATCACAATTGTCTCCTTTGAGTTTCTAAAACATCCTTTCCAGCAACCATTATTATCAGTGATGAATTTGTTTTAGAAATGTTCTGTTTTTAAAAACACAGGGCTCCTCTACACGTGCAGGGACGCTGCTCCAATGCACTGTAATTATAGTGCATTGGAATAGACTTGATTAATTGAGTCTGCTGAAGCGTGGTAATTACTGCACTCGTACAGACTCCAGTGTCATATGTATGAGAGTCCCTGCACTGAAAAATGAAGGTGGTGGCATTTTAACTAAAGCTTGTTCAACGAGCAAGCTTAGTTAAAGTGCCCCCACTGCCATTTTTTAGTGTGGGGACGCTGATACATGTGATGCTCTGGGCGCTTTAATTAGAATGGCTAGGAGCCAGGCTAATTAAAGCACCTCCACACCTCCCGAAGCACATAAGTGCCCACAGATTTCACTTTGCTGAATGGGATTTGGACAGTATGGCAGAGAAAACCTTTGTTAACCTTGGATGCATCTGTCATTGGTGGTAACACAATCACACAATACTCTGGCTGGGGGGAAAGCCAATGTTTGATGGCAGGACTTTTTCAAGCTGTTTTACCCTTCCAATGGTGTTTTTTCCAGCTAAAAGTATCTAGGCAGAACAATGCTGAGGAACGCCATTGTGATGTTTTATTAAAATATGTTGTTGCTTTAATAGTGACTTGTTGCATGAGGCAGCAGTTTAAGTGGTTAAGTTGGCCAAAAAAACTGTAAGCTTCTAGATTCATCTCACCCCATTTTAAAATACTGAATTATGGAAATATTTTCTTAATTCTGGAGATGATTCTTTACTTAGGCCTTTATTTTTATGTATTTTTAACTTGCTCTATATTTTTAAGCTTCTTGCATTGAATACACCTTGCGTCAATGCTGCATACAGAGGTGATCGAATGCTTTAAACCTAAGAGTTGTAAACTGAAACAAAGGGAGAAACACCATTTTTTAGTATTTGCAACATTTTACTTACTTACACTTTGTGCAGTGCTTAGTACTATTTTCCTGTCTAGGTGCAGTTTGTTTCTCCTAACATGATTGCTTCCTGTTTAGGGAAGATTCCAGGATCAGCAGTGCTGGTTTTTGACATCCATGTGATTGATTTCCATAACCCTTCAGACTCTGTCAGCATTACTACTCATTACAAACCTACCAACTGCACAGTTCTGAGTAAGAAAGGGGATTACCTGAAGTATCATTATAATGCCTCGCTTCTGGATGGCACTTTGCTGGACTCAACGTAAGTGCATCATTGGCATATTGAGCATTCCACATCCTGCCAAAAACATGACTTATAGTGAACATTATACAAAGAAGTAAGAATTTTTGGAGAGGAAAAAGCATAACAGTAAAGTTAAAATATTTATAATAATCTGATGGGCATTCTTATTTTTCTTGTTTGGTTGCCTATTGTTCATATGTAATCTTTTCCTAAAAAGAAAAGAAATGAGTAAGACAGGCAGTCATGGGTTGAGAAGGGAGCTGAGAATGACATAAAACAGGGACCATCAAGAAAAACATAAAAATTGTCAGCCTAATAATGGACCAGATGCATATGAATTATAGGATGGCTACACCACAGTCTCTGCTGAAACTGCAGTGCAATGTAATTATATTTGTGCTAACTTTAAAATTGCAAAGTCAGACTACACACAGCAGTCTAGCTGTGCCAACACACAGCTCAGTGTGGGGTAGCTGAACCCAAATACTTATCCAGTTGCTAGCTCAAGTACATCTGCTACACTGCAATTATAGCAGAGGCTGCACTATAGCTAGGCTTGGCAGAATTCAATTTTTATTTTTTAATAATTTTGAGAGATAACATCAGTATTTATTTTTAAGCATTTCTTTTGATTTTTATCAATTACATTTTTCAGGATTGCATGAAATTAAGGATGTGGGGACAGACAATTTATTAATGACAAACAACTACTGTAGAACTGCTGCCAGCTGATTGGCAGAATTACCATCAGTCCCAGCTCCACTCGCCCGTAGCTGTCTCATCCACTTGTCACTTCCTTTTCCTTTGTTCCCAGTCCCCTGGGGTTTCTGGGAGTTGCAGTCCAAACTACAGTCAGTACAGTTCTGAACGACTGCTTCCCCTGTCACTACACACTCCATCAGCCATAATTTTTCTTACGGCCCCTTTCTATAAATTTTGATTATTAATGATGGAAATATTTTTTTCATTGGTCTGTGAGTGTGAGGTGAAATTGGCATTTATCAACGTCTACTGATTAAAAATGGAATCCTGTCAAGCCTAACTACAGCATAGATTGTTTGTTTCATTAGCTTTTATTGGAATTGAGATATTCCTGGAAGAAACTATTGGATGGCTGGATTATGGTTGGGCTGGATTGGAGGGTTCTGACCATGCTCCACTTCCATCTCAATGCAGAAACAGTGGGATGGTATGGGGAACGACAGGCTGGCGACCCTTGCCTCCCTTCCCCAGAGGAATAGCTAAATCTCTTTGCCTGACAGACCTGATCCCTCTTGAGTAGTTTTGCTTCCTTTTGTGGCACAACATAGGTTATTTTTACTCAGTGAAACATGTTTTGAATTGACCTGAAGTACAGCATATACCAGGGGTGTCCAACCTTTTCACTCTGCAGGCTGGATGAGCAGTACCATGTATGTCTGTGAGCTGGATCTGGTCTGTGGGCCTTATCTGGTGTGTGAGGCCAACCCAGCCAGGGCCCAATCCACTTGCATTGCGATTAGAAATTTGGCAGTGTTAATTGCCACCGCTCCCCTGCTGCCAAATTTCCAGACCTGTGAGGAGCTCTGCAGGCTGGATGACCATGGGTCCACAGGCCAGAGCTGACCTGGAGTCTGGGGGTTGAGCACCCCGGCATATACAAACAGTGTTATGTATTTGGTTTTTATCCTCATCTTTTGAATAGAATTAGTAGTAAAATGATCTTTTATTTATTTATTTTTGAGGGTGATGTGGGGAAGGGCTGTTTCTTAACAGAGTGTTAACACAGTCTGTGGTTTCAGCAGTATATACTTTAACATGCAAAGTTGAAAATCTGACTGAGTACTTCTGTGGTACCCATGGCTGTAGTATCTTACAATATGTGCCCTTGCAAGGTAGGAAAGTCCTGTTGTTTTCACTTTCCAGATATGGGACTAAGAAGTAGAAAGTCTGTGACTTACCCAAAGAAATTGGGTGGAGTGGAGACTTGAATCTGTATCTCCCAAGTCCTGGGCAAGGGCTTTTACCAGTGTTCTTCTGTGCTCTATAGAGGTTCTGTCTTGCTGTCACACAACCAAGCTAAAAAATAACAACAGAAAAATTGATAGCAAAAAGGTACTACAGTGAAGAGTGCCAGCAAAAACCCTAGGTCTGTACACTTCTTTCTTTTAGAATTATGATGTGTATTTGACAGTTTATCACTTCACAAAAGACATTTTAGAAACAGGAGACCAATAGCAAGACACAGCGTCAACAAAGCATAACTAAAATGTTACTAAGATTCTTAGGAATGATAAAGCTCTCCAAATTGTCCTGAGATTAAAAAACTCAAGTTGGGATTTTCAGTGGAACATAGGCTAGTTAGATGCCCAAATCCCATTTAATTCCAATGGCAGTTTGGTGTCATACTATAAGCTTTTCTAAAAATCCCAGACTCATCTAGCCAAAAGGACAGTTGATATCAGTAAGCTTAATCATATACTCAGGGCTTTACAGAACTTGGCCTGTAGCTTAAAAACTGTGTGTATACGTGAAACAAGACATTTGCAAAACAAAATTTTGCCCCTTATTTTGAAGGGCAGAATACTTTGGAATTTGAGTGGGAGGACTGAAATAATTCATCTGGTTTATCACTGGTGTTTGAAGATATCTGTGCAAAGGGTTGGATAAGAAGACCCTTAAGATTCCCTTCTACCGTTATAATACTAGGGTGTGGGCTCATTCCCCATTGATGACTAAGGTGTCTATGTGATGGAGATTGTAGTTAATGAAGCAGCAGCATACTTGACTGCTTGGAAGCTCATAGCATTTGGGCTAAGCATATTCTGGCTATGAGGAGTCTTTTATGTGGAAATTGTATAACTGAGTAGCAGTTCAGAAGTAGTAAAAGTTTTATGTTTTCTCAGGCTTAATCTTGGCAAAACGTACAACATAGTTCTTGGATCTGGCCAGGTTGTACTGGGGATGGACATGGGTCTTCGAGATATGTGTGTTGGAGAAAGACGAAGAGTTGTTATTCCACCCCATCTTGGTTATGGAGAACATGGAGTTGGTAAGTAAATGAAATCTAGTACTCCATCAGTGGCTGAACTGCGAGTGATACAAGTCTTGTTTTTTATTATTAACATATTTTGGACAGGAAGGGAGAAAGAATTTAAAAAGTAAGTGGCAAATATTCAAGAACTTTTTTGTATTTCTTAAAATTATTTAATAGTTCTAAAGCACTGTCTTTTTGGAGCTATTCTGTGTGAATATATTTTAACAAACATATGTCTGATTGGAATAAACTTTCTACCTTTAATAATAATGGCCTTGAAAATGAGATATCTTTGGCCATTGTGCTGATTATTCTAGCACGTTTCCGAGCACTTGCAAGTTGTCAGGAATGTTGCTTTGCAGTAATGGAATGATATAGGCACTAGGGCGCAGATTTTCAGAGGTTTCTAATAGGGGTGGGCGAAGTGGGCCCTATTCAATTCAGATTTGGCCCAAATCAGGGACAGTGATTCGATTCGTTGATTCGGATCACTGTCCCTGATTCGATTCAGCTGAATCCGAAGATCTGATGCTGATTCAGAGAATCAGCGATTTGGCCATAGACACAGCTTTAAATGTTTTTTATACATATCTTGAGGTAGCAGGAGTGGCTTGTGAATGCTGCGATGCTGGGGCGGATGGAGTGCCCCACAGCAGTGCGGGGGGGGAGGGGCCCTCCATGTGCTTGGTGGTGAATCCGGAAGTGGACTGGAAGTACTTCCGGTCCACTGCTGAGTCTGCCAGGGAGCGTGCTGGGGGGGCCTCCCCCCCGTGCCTCCCTGGCTAGGTGATTGGCTGCAGGGGAACCCTAGGTGCCTGTGCCCCGCCACCAGACACAGGAGGCACCAGTCACTGGGGGTGGGTCCCCCTGCTTTTGGTCCACTTCCAGGTCTGCTGCTGAGCGCGCTTGAGAGCCTCCCGCACTCCTGTGGGACGCTTCATCTGCTCCAGCATCACAGCATTCACGAGCCCCTTATACTTACATTTAAATTTAAAAACATTTAAATCTATCTCTGTGTCCGAATCTCTGACTCTTTCTGAATCTCTATGAATTGACTCGGAGGGTTCTGATTTGATTCGGATTCGGATTCAGAGATTGGCCACCAAATCGGGCCGAATCTCTGCTGAATCGAATCAGGGCCCGAAGCTTCACACAGCCCTAGTTTTTAAGCATCACTCATTGAGCATCTCTACATGAGACGCTAATGGCACAGTAGACTAATTTTACTGCGCATTAGCGTGGCATGAAAAAACTGCTAACGCGCAGTAGAATTGGTCTACTGCACATTAATATCACTTAAAAAGCTGGCGCTAATGCACAGTAGCATCAATTATGGTGCATTTATTTAGTACCCGTTATTATCTGGATAACATTTTATACTTAATAGGAAACTTACTATTGCATGTAGAAAATGTAAAAAAGAGAAAATTGGAACTACAAAAAACCTTTAAGCTAATATGCGCAAATAGTAAAATAGAAAACATGGAGATATTTTTACTCATTAATATAAGGCATTTATAAAGGCTCAGTTTTTCACTATTAGTAAGCTATATTTCTTTGAGAAGATGCACCTGCCATCTTACAATGAGTATACTGTCCAGGTTAGGATATTCATATGTATTTTGCTCCATAATCTTGCAGACTAACCATGAGTTAATTTTGTATTTGGCCATGTAGTTACTCCTGCATGCATGGGTCTTGTAAGTGAGACTGTATGTGTGGGAGAAAGTGTATTTGCAGGATTGATACTTCAGGTTGGAATGAAAGTTGCCAATAAATAATTATAAAATTATTACTTCCATTGCAGGGAAGTTCAGTTCCTAATATGGGGACAGTTACTGACCTGTAAAGTTAAAACAACTTGAGTGGCGTCCACAATGATTTTAACGAACATTGTGTTGACAACCTATTGTGTTTATGTTATGACATGTCATGTTACACTTGTTACCTGTTGCCAATGGGTTGGGACACATACATCTCATATGACCGGACTGTTGGGTGTTCTTTGGCTGCTTAACCCCAGTGTGCTGTTCATCCATATGGCCTGATCCAATACCCACTTAAGTTAGTGGAAAGACTTCTATTAATTTTAGTGGATTTTGGATTGGACCCAAAACTACTCTAAGTAATGGAGGAGGTTTAATTGTGAGAAAATAGACATTTTTGCCCGTAGCCACATAATTGAAAATTAATGCTTCCCTTTGCTATGTGTTGTCACAGAAGGTGAAGTGCCTGGTAGTGCTGTATTAGTTTTTGACATTGAATTGCTGGAACTAGTGTCTGGTTTACCTGAAGGCTACATGTTTATATGGAATGATGAAGTCTCACCCAATCTCTTTGAAGAAATCGACCAGGATAATAATGGGGAGGTTCTTTTGGAGGAGGTAAGTTTTAGGTTGTAAAAATATTTGCATAATTTCCCTTAATTTCACCCTCACAAAACTCATGGAATAGATCAGTGGTTTTCAGACTTCCTAAAGTCATGGGACCCTTTCATATCACTTTTGCTGCTGCGGAACCTCTCCCCCTATCCTGCAGACTGACATGGAGCCAGGCAGCTTGGCCTGGCAATGGCAGCACATGGCCTCCTGGCTTGCTCCACCATTATCCCCACTGTCTTTGCAGAACCCTGGTGATGACTTATTGTGGGACCCAGGCTTCCAGTTTGAAAACTACTGACCTAACTCACCTGTCCCAGAGGTGCCAAACTCACTTGCATCCTCAAGCTGGATCTGGACTTCAGGGCTCCATGTGGGCTGGATCTAGATGTGACAGTAGCGGTGGGGCAAGTGGCAGCAAAGGGAGTGGTGGTGCAGGGATTACTGTAGCTGTTGCTCGCTCTCCATCACTGACATGCATGCCCATTGGGGCTTGGCAGCAGGGAATTCTGCAGCAGGCCCTTACCCTTACTTGTCCTGACCCCAAATACCTAGCCCTTCTAGGAGGCCTGTAGGCTGGGTGAAACAGCTCCATGGGTGGATCCAGCGTGTGGGTTGTATGATTGACACCCTGAGTCACAGACTGGTCAGCCACCATATCTTTATGGTGTTTATTCATTTTACAGTATGTGCTCTAATAAGTTTAATGGAAAGCTGACATTTTAAATTAAGTCACATTTTAATTGAAGGGGGAAAAATAGAACAAAATGGCCTTTCAAATTATGGAAAGGCAGATGGTTAAAATGATAATAAATTCCTTGTTTCCTCTTTCTTATAATCTCTCCCTCTTTCCTCATTTTGCTGGTTTCTTTGTGTCCTCTTCTGCATCTTTCCCCAGTGTGAGCCTTGCAAGGTACAGAATTGAATGGGGAAGAAAAGGCTTATGTACTAAATGTACCAAAACCCTTCCGATCTGCAGAAGGTGTAATGGATGATTTGTGGAGATTTGAGTTGAGCCAAAAAGTTGGTTTAAAAAAAAAAAACAGTCAAAAGCTGAAGTTCACTGTGAAATATTATATTTGCTGTTGTTACAAATAGCATCAGAGAGTATATAAGAACTGAAATAAGAGTATACGGACTGAGTAATTTTTTCTTTAATTTGTGTGTTTGACAGCATTTTAGGTTTAGCAAATTAGTTTCCCTCCCTCGCTTACATGGGTCTTTTCTGATAACGGGGGGCGGGGGTGGGGTGTTCTTTTTGAAGAACATTTGATAAGGCAGCTAAAAATCATTAGGGGAATTCAGGTACAGATGAAACTATTTTTAATATTTTCAGATTATTTGGATCTTGGTAGATCTTAGAGTCATCTTTCAGCAGCACAATGGTTTCATTCTCTCTGCTGACTGGTGTCAGGTTTCATACGGATTCTAGAGGGTTTTTTTTTACCGAAGTGGCAGTCTTAATGCAGTATATTTATAAACAAAACAAAGCTGCTTCCTTTTCATTCAGATCTATTCTTAAAATGCTTCTTATGTAAGGCCTTTCCATAAAGTGACCTACTTTTAACCTACGTAAGGTATGAGGAGTGTAATCCTGGAACCATTGAAGCAAATGACAAAACGCCTATTGAGTTCAGTGGAGCAGTGTTGACCTTTTGTGTCTGGTCTATTTAGTCCAATGCAGATTGTAAGCTCCTTAAGGGTAGTAGTGCTATTTATATATGCTCTTTTCTGTCTCTCCCCTCCCCCCCCCCCCCCCCCCCATCTGTGTTTAGGACACTGCCAGTTGAGCAATGGACTGATTGTCTAAAATAAATAGACTTGTAAAATATCTATTATTAAATTATTTGGTGATTTCACTGTGCTTTTTCCTTCCTCTCCCCTCCCTCTCTCTAGTTCTCAGAATACATTCAAGCTCAAGTCAATTCTGGCAAAGGGAAACTAGCTCCTGGTTTTGACTTTGAAATGATCGTTAAAAATATGTTCGCAAATCAGGATCGAAATGGAGATGGCAAGATTTTAGCTGATGAATTCAAACTGAAAGACCAAGAGTCCAGAGAAGAACATGATGAACTGTAACACTAAACCAGGAAGAATAGCGAGCTGAGCTACTGTTGGAAGATCCATGAAGTGTGTTTGTGTTTGAAAGGATGGTGTTTGGGCAGTGTGCATGCTTGAGTGTGTGCGTGCATTGTGGATTGTTGCACAAAGTAAAAGGTTTTTAGTTTAAATCTGTAGTCCTATTAAAACAAGCATTAAGTGCCTCATCGTGAGATTTATAAACTGATTTAAGAGTATGCTGCCAAACATGGTTTTGTGAACCATATGGTTAATTTTTAGGTTAAGGATCACAGTTCATTTTGAATGATAAGCTTCTTTTGGATGGATGAAAAATAGAAAAAATACAGGGTGCTTTTTTTTTTTTTTTCAACTTTGTATTTAAAATCTCTCTACAGGTATATAAAATGGAAAACAAAACAAAACAGAGCATGCCCCATTAAAGTATCTGCTAAAGAACAAACTTGCTATCAGAGAGCAATTGTAGTTCTCTTTTAGAAAGTGTGTAAATTTTTCAGTAAGTAAAGCATCTCTTGATAGTCTGAAGCAGGAGCTATGATTTGCTGATTACAATCAAATATTAGACGTGCCAATCAAATTTCTGGCAAGCTGTGAATAAAATGAAACGGGGTTAACTTATGACCACTTGTGTGATGCTGGGTCTCATTGTGTGTAATATGTTTGCTACATTCCTATATTTTATTTAATTAGTACGGTTGACTCTCATTGGAAGACTGTTAAAGCACTGGCTAAGATGAATACTAAAGCCCAGGCAATCACCTATTTGGACCTGTATATGAGACAATCGATAAAATATACCAAATTGTAAGAGAGAGACGTCCTAGAAAGTGGCATGAGTATAAGTCAACAGAGAATACCTTTTGAGGACCACAAATATATATTGTACAACACTGTCAGGAAGGTACAAATAGGGTTGATGTTGTGTTTGTTGAATGCTTTTTAGGTTCCTGCTTTCCTTGATGTGTACATAAATGGTTTTGAATAACCTGAGACACTCCTTTTGAAAACTGCTATTTTTAAATGAAAACATTTTGTATTGGCTTTTGAAACAGTTGTACAAGAAAATGCCATTAACTTTTTTTGGTGTTTGATATGTGCTGAATAATTTTTTTTTTTTTTTTGTTATATAAAATAATGATCAACTCAAGATCGTAAGACTGTGGGGTTTTTTTTTCTTCTGATAGGTGGAGGACTTACTTGATAATATTGAGCTCTATTATCATAGGTTGTCTTATGTACACACCTCTCTGTACAACTGATCAGTCCTATACATTAGATAACTTGAATCTGTGTATTTCAGATTTTGAACTGAAAGTCCTTAACAGAAAAATCACTCTAGACTGACACTGGTTAAGAAAAATACCTGAACATGATTAACTGTAAAAGAAAATATTTCTGTCTTTTACTCCATGCTAACAGTTAAATGAGACTTTGGCCATTCAGGAATTCTCTAAACTCAGTATCACATATCACCATGAGCTGTGGCTGTTCAGAACACGATTTTTGGAGAAGAGAGGACTAAATAGTTGTCTCCTTGGCCATATAACAGAATTGTTTTTTATTTACCTAAGGTATACTGTTTCATTCCCAAGACTAGGGAGTCCCTTGTTAGTGAAGTTTTATGGTGCCAGCTTGGCTGAACCAACTGCTGAAACTTCCTTAGCCTGATGAAGGGTTTTTGAACCCGAAAGCTTGCTTAATAACTATTCTCCAACCATTTGGGTTGGCCTAATAAAAGATATCAAATTCACCCAAGGAACCTTGTCTGCCTATGTCCTTAGACCAACACGGCTACAACCTAAACCCCAGCTTGGCTGTATAGCATTTGAACCACATGTAAATTGTCAGAACAAGGAAATCTTGACTGTTTCAGAGCTAATTTATCTATGGGCTAATGATAGTTTTTACTGTCAGACAGAAGCACTTGGGGGTGTGTTGGGATCTCATTATTAGGGACCTACCCAATTCATGGAGGCTGCCTCCATATTTCGCAGCCCCGGTGCAGTGTTGGAGTGTGGTTGGTTCTCGCTCCTCCTCTCCCCCCTCACCTCTGATTGGCCAACACCCCTCGGAAATCCCACCTCTCCCAGAGATTCACAGATGGCCACCTGTTAATTTCCAGGGAGGGGTGGGAGTCCTGGGGCCCCTTGACCACCTGTCAATCTCTGGGGAGGGGCAGGACTTCCAGGTTTCCTTGTCCATCTCCTTCCCCTCCCCCCCGCTTCCATCTCCCTGTGCTCCAGGGTGCCAGGGCTTCCCACCCTTTTCTGTTTGCAGCTGCCTTCCTCCCCACCTGCTGGTGCACTGTTCTTTTCCCACTTTTTCACAGTCCCCGTTCTTTTTTGCAGGGACTTGGATTTTTCATGGGGGATCTACCAAATTGGCGGTTTCTGTGAAAACCACAAAAACCTAAATTTGGTAGGTCCCTCCTCATTATCCAAGTTATCCTTCAGAAGCAGTATTTTTTCACCAAAGCAGTGTTCTGGAGACTTTTTTCTTCAGGGATGTTGCATTGAGATTGCTTCTTCCTGGATTCTGAACTAAATTGTTCAGTAGTATTTCTAGTTCAAGTGTATTGCTTCGGGAATATGGTGGAAAACAAGCCTTTGCATCTTCAAAGCTGCAGGACCCTTCTAGAAAGCAGGGCATACTGGGACTTCGTGAACACCTTTCTTTCTAGTACTGGTATTTTGTATACAGAGGCATATAGCTAGGAAGTTAGTGAACTGAGAGGTAAGTGAATCCCTTTTGTAAGATTGGATAACTTAAGCTTGACTTTTTGTACCCCCCTCACTAATTTGTGCTGTATTGAAATATTCATTAGTTCTTTCGAATGGAAAATAATTTTTTATTGTGTTTTTCAATTGTAGATTTTAATACTTTGCCTAAAGCATTGGGTACCATTAATATTTGGATTAAAAAATGTTTTTGGCTAAAACAGTGTTACTCTCCAAAGCACTAATGGAATAGAGAATAAAGTTATACGCCAAGATGCATACTTGTTTGATTCTAGTATTTACTATATATAAGATGTAAGTGTGCTTAATATGACTTTTTCATGGTATGACACATTTTTGGCTGCATGCTCATTAACATCTTTAACACTGAAAAAGGTAAAGTTTTTTTGCTGCTATAACATTTTATATTTATATTTGTTAGCTTCAAAACTTATCAGGGAAATCTGCTAATTCAGGCTTCCTTTCCAATGTTATTCAAGAAACAAACATGCTGAATTCATGACTAGTTCCTGCGGCAGGTTACTCATTCAGTAAGTTCATTTTTTCCCCCTGTATTTGTATTGCTTAGGAGTGTATTCTTTTGCATTCCTATACCTTAGGAGTGAGGGAACACTGAAGTAGCCTGAAATACCTGGTTAGGAGGAGGAAGAAGCTTTAAACAGGTGAAGGTCTCAAATAATAAACCTGGATGTGTACCACAGACAAGAAGTGAATTTGAGTTAAGAGGCTGTGACTTGGATGACTACACAGTCCGGTGGGTGGTGAATTGGCTAGAGGGTCGTACCCAGAGAGTCATAGTGGATGGATCGGTATCGACCTGGAAGGGTGTAGGCAGTGGGGTCCTGCAGGGCTTGGTCCTTGGACTGATGCTCTTCAATATCTTCATCAGCGACTTGGATGAGGAAGTGAAGTGTACTCTGTCCAAGTTTGCGGATGACACAAAACTGTGGGGAGAAGTGGACACACCAGAGGGCAGGGAACAACTACAAGCAGACCTGGATGGTTGGACATATGTGTGGAAAACAACAGAATGCAGTTCAACAAGGAGAAATGCAAAGTGCTGCACCTAGGGAGGAAAAATGTCTAGCATACCTACTGCCTAGGAAATGACCTGCTTGGTGGCACGGAAGTGGAAAGGGATCTTGGAGTCCTAGTGGACTCCAAGATGAACATGAGTCCTCAGTGTAACAAAGTCATCAGAAAAGCCAATGGCACTTTATTGTGCATCAGCAGATGCATGATGAACAGAACCAAGGAGGTGATACTTCCCCTCTATTGGGCGCTGGTCAGACCGCAGTTGGAATACTGCATGCAATTTTGGGCGCCGCGCTTCAAGAGGGATGTGGATAACCTGGAGAGGGTCCAGAGAAGGACCACTCGTATGGTTAAGGGCCTACA